ATGTGTGGATAATGGTCGTGGAAAGCATTGCAGGTCCTGTATCTTCATTTTAATTCAGCTAGATTATAATATCATTAAAGACAGATTCTTTTAATAGTCGCAGCAACAAAAACATTTTAAAATACATTTTATAAATAAAGATTTTGTAAAAAGCTGCTGCACCCGCATTTGTATTACGATGTTTCTGATGATTACATCTGTGTAACAGTTATTGTACTGACAATATCCCTTCAAAGACTTGTTTGCAGCAACTTCATGTTAATTGCAGAACCCCAAACAGAAGTAAGATGCACTAAAATAATTCCAAAAGGTTGCAATATTCTTTATTTTCTTTGTGATTTAAAGTATTTGGAAACTTCAAAATGTTGTGTAGAGGTTGTGAAAAATGTAGATATGGTTAGCATTGCAGATCAACCGACAAAAATATCCATTAGTCGGTGATCTTAAGAAACATAATAAAGAATTAGTTAAAGAGTGGTCCAATATAAAAGCACTGTTTTAAGAAAATCGAATCTCACCTCTGGTAGTATTCACAAAGGACTTTTAAATAATTATCAATTCGTTAAGAGAATACCACTGAAGACTGTTAATGGGCAACAATATCTTCATTTGGGGCAGCTACCCCTCATTCTCCCCTCCTACGGTACACTCATGTTTACATTGAATGTCTGTTCAGACTAGTGGGAGTGTCTTCTTTGTGTGTCTAGTAAGAATGCTGTTTGGTCTAGCGAAGACACAAACCACGAGCCTACTCAAGAGGCGTGTTTCGTTTGCCATTTTCCACGCCAATATTTCAATATTTTAACATTTATGTTATGTGTGTTAAGTAAAATGTTGAAGTCACCTTTCAGTTTTAATTCCATTGTTGTTGTTCGTTGGCTGCATTTTGTTTCCCTTCTTTAAATGAACGTTATTAAGAGATTTTTATCGCTGAGTGATTTATTCATTAAAAAATCATTTATTAGCGAGAAACAAGGCAAGAGTGAGTAAGTGTGCGTGCCAGCACCAACATACACACACACACACACACACACACTTATTTGCCGACACACATTTGGTCATTGGTTCGGCTTCTGAGGCGGTTAGTGGCTGGCAGAGACTTGTCGACTGTCCCGCTTATAAGTAAGCGGGCATTAAAATGCAAAAGCGTGTTTATTCCTGGAAAACTGCTGCCTACATAGGCACAGCTGAAGAAGCTCTGCCCTCCTCTGTCCGCGGGCTGGGCCAGTGGAGCGGGAGTGCGTGCGGCTTTTGTCAGCTGTGGCTGGAGCGCGCGCTCAGGCGTGCGGCCTCATCGCCTGCGTGCCTTTTGTTTTTATTAACTTGCATATTTTCACAATTTTCATTCCACCAACTCTGCCGCACTGGGTGAGTGTGTGCGTTTTTAATCACTTAATTAGATAGCTTTTTAATTGCCAAGAACATTTCGCAAATATGCAAAAGGTGTGCGCTGTGCCAGGAAATGCAAATGACTTGTGGTGAGTTCGTGTCTTAAGTCTTTTGTTGCTAATGCCGCAAAATATGCGCCTGGCTCAAACTTATACCCATAATTAAAGGAGTTGCGTTTGTTGTCTCACAACATTTTCGATCCACAAATATATACGCAAATAGGTACGAAAATTTATATACATTTGATTTGAGCTTACGGAATAGAAAGTTCTTAAGCCATGTCCTGAATTCCAAACTCACTTGACAAAGCTTCCTTCCCTATGGCTAATACAATTAATTTTTTTATTTATATAGTATGTAAATAATCTTGGCTACCTTTTAACTTAAATCACATATTTTTTCAGATAAATCTGAATTTTTTCAAACCAACTACATTAAGGTTTATAATTGAACTTTATTGGCTGTGTTAAGGTATTACAGTGAAAACACTCTTGGCCGGACACTCACGGTCGACCAATTTTTTTCCGCCCAAGGGGAGTGTCCGCTTACTCGAATGTCTTAGAAAAAGTGTCCGCCGAAGACTCTCTCCGTCCGGAGTTTTCACTGAATTTGCCATTGTTTTAATGGTATCCCCACCTATCTACCGGATTCGAGCTGGCACAATCTTTACAATCTTACTCGTCAGTTTTCGGCTTAAGCTTTACAGCAATACTGTAAATCTTCTTAATTGTAGACACACGCACACTCGCAGATACATAGTATATAGGAAAATACAGACATAACAATTAGCATTTAGCTAAACATAACATAAACATTAACGATTTTGGCCATTTCTAGCCAATAAAGCCAATAAAATGGCACAAACAGACACGGCAACAGGCCGTAACATAAATACTTGTTAGTCGCCAGAAACATTGCATTTAAATTTATAGTACATATACACACAACAGACACACACACACACTTCATCGGGGAGAGACACCAAGGCGAGTGGCAACAGACAAAGCCGGCGTCGACATCGTCATCGTCGCTGTTAATCACCGAGTGGCCATTTGCATTGGCCATGGCTATGGCTAGGCACGTTAGAAGCTTCTTTTTGGTGTCATAAGGAAGCGTCTAAATGATTCATAATTTATGCTTACTTCTTAGCCTGTCACTGCCTTGGCCATTGCCAGCGTCATTCACTTGGCCATTGAATGCTTTCGTTACTTAATTTTTCCAACTTAAAGTGGCTTGTGCCTCCTGCCTGTTACCCACCGACCTTCTCCCGCCGCATGCCTTCGTAATGCTTGCGTGGCCGTTTGCCTGCATCGTTGCCTGCCGTTTGTCTGGCCGTTGATAGTTTAAAAAATTACTTACAAATTACATGCGTAGCTTATGCCCCCGTGCCGCCTTTGCTAGCTCGTCGAATTGTTTGCTTAATGTGCCTTACGGCAACGGCAGAGTCCACGGCAGTGGCCGAGGGGGAAGAGGCCATAGGCAATGCAGTCAACACGTCCCAATCCCATTGCTGCAGCTGGCTTAAGTGCTGTTGTTGTTGCTGCTGGTGTTATGTCTCATGGCCAGGTCGTAAATTGCGTTTTCTAATTGAATTTCGTACACACTGGCTAAGTGACAGTCGCCGCCTGACTTCTGCCCCAGCGATTGCATATTTCATTTTAATTAAATTTGTTCTAATTTGCATAACAACTACATATAATGTGAACAATGCGCTGAAAACTGTTATGTGATTTTAATCAAATAATTGATGCCAATAACATGCAATAATTTTTATGATAGTTGATACTCACAACATCTTAAAAGTCATATATGTGTGAAATACTTTGGATATTCATTTAAACCGAATAAAAAAATTGTAAAAACTTATCTGCATGTTAAGAAGTGGATTAATAAACAGCGTAGATCTTAAATAAATGCTTAAGAGGTGCAATAACACCTTAACCTATAAAATACTTCTATATGAGCACCGCTTTAAAATGCAGTTCTACCATTTTAATGACTGATTTCTGCATTAAATTAAAATATAAATAATTAGTGCCGAGGAAGGTTCGTCATGTTATATTATAAGTACTATGTACAGATAGGGGCAGTATAAAAGCCAAGGCAATATATTTTCTTGCTTTTGTTGTGGCATTTTCGCACGGCTTAAAATGCAGCACGAAACATGGCTATAAAGTGTAGCTGCGTTTAGTTTAAACAAGTCGACAATTTAACAAGTAAAAAAGCTAAAGTCGGGTGTCCCGACTTTGAAATACTCTGTACATATGTTTACAATAATTATAGAAAATAAAAAAAATTAAGAAAATAAAAAAAAAAATTTGATCGATTTTACCTCTCTCGGTATTCGAACTCACGTAAAGGGTGTATAATTGCACATTTACATAGCAATTGCGTCTGTGTGAGTGTATGTATGCCTATGCGCATTAATTCGTGTCTGTGTAAGCATTTTCGCAGTCAACCAAACAGCAACATCAACAACAGCCGCGGGCAGCGCTTGAGCAGCGCTGCAGCAGCGCTGCATCAGCAAATATATTTATGGCTATAACTTCTTGTTAAATCGGTCTATCATAATGAAATTTGGCATACGGACATATAATAACTAACTGGGGGTATTTCCAAAATTTTAGTTCGAAATTCCAAGAATTACGGGAGTTACGATTTGCGGGGTAGAGGGGGGAGGGAGGGGAATTCCAAAATATACATTTTCTGCGTATTCACATAAGGCATCTGGGACTAAAATTTGGTGTTCCTAGGTCTTATAGTCTCCGAGATATAGGCGATTATACGAATGGAAAATCGGGAAAACCCCCATAGGGGGGAAGTGGGGGGGAAAATCAAAAAAATAAAACAAACTCGTATAGAATACACACATAACGCATCTTCGTGCAAAATTTGGTGTCTCTATCTCTTATAGTCTCTGAGATCCAGGTGTTCATACGGACGGACAGACGGACAGACGGACAGACGGACAGACAGACAGACAGGGCTAGATCGACTCGTCTCGTCATGCTGATCAAGAATATATATACTTTGTGGGGTCTGCCACGCCTCCTTCTGCCTGTTACATTTTTCAGCTCCCGCAAACCTAATATACTCTTGTACATTTCATGTACAGAGTATAAAAAGCCAATTTGCGCATAATACGTTGAACGTGAGCAAAAATTTAACATAGAATTGCACGCATGCATACACACACATATACATGCATACATATACTTATATATGTTTAGTATGTATGTACATACATCTGCATAAGTACGATGTGCAGATATATTTGTATGTTGTGAGTGCTCGCGTCTTGGCCAACAAATATCTACGCATGCGCAAATGGCCATAAATGCAAATGACTCGTCGTGGGCTCGCCTGATGGTTCATTAAAAAAACATTGCTGCGGATCGCACACCCGCAAAATTAATGACCTAATTTTTGAACGTTATGCAAATGCTTGAATTCAAACTGCGAATTTCAATGTTCAGAACCTTGCGTTTTCCAACACTAGCCGAATAGATGGCAAGCACTGCAGGCGCTTCCCCAAGAATTTCACATTTCATAACACTGGCTTGCTTGCGGACACATGTACATTTGTGACGGTGCGTAGTTCATCTTGGAAAATGCCTCGAAAAGTGAAGAAACCAGCGTTTAAAGTGGGCGACTTTGTCTTCGCCAAGCTGCATGGCTATCGTGCCTGGCCAGCACGTATTGTCACGATCATCGGGCGATTTTTCGTCGTGTACTTCTACGGCACCTACGACAGAGCACGTGTTACACGCCATCAACTCTATTTGTACGAGAAGAGTTACAAGCGTTTCGCATCAGCATCACATCTTAAAAATGCAATCTTCAAACACGCCATGCTGCACATCCAGGACGCACTGACTCATCCCGATGAGGACATCGGCTACGAGCAAATGCTGGCAGAGTATGCTCACCAGTCAGAATCAGATGAATCTGATATAGACATTGCGGTCAGTCATCTTACTGCAGATCCGAATGTAATTGTCGTTAATAATCTGGATGGCGCGATTATAGGTCGGACCATATACTAACACATCCCAAAACATAATTTATACACATATGTACATACATACACACACATATGTAAGCTTTAAAAAGTTTGTAAACAGCATTGCTTAAGCAAATAGCTAAAATTGTTCATAAAAAATAAAATTTTTGTTCTCTTGTTGGCTAAACTGGTCCGGTAGGGCGTGCAAGTGGGCGCGAGGGCTTTCAAGAATCATAAGTACATATATTTGTTGGTATTTCTTTCTATTACAGCCGATTGCTCAACGATCATGATTATGTTGATTTCTAATGCCCATTAATTGGTTGCCGGAGCAGCCAAGGCATCAAGAACATCTTTGTTGATATCGATAGCTGGCGTCTATCGGCATTTTTGGTATTTTTTAAAAATTCACTTGTTTTGTAGAAAGCAAGTTAGAAATGTAAAATTGTCCCTCCTTAGGATAGATCTTAAATAAAGAATAAGGATTTATTTATAAAAAATTATTGTATGATTTGTTTAAAGACGAAATGGTTGTGCCTTGCCCCATCTTTAATATTTGACATTTGTGGGAGACGCAGGCGTCTAATGTAAAACACGTGGTCGTGTGTGAGTGTGTGTGTGTGGCAGCATAATGGCGACTGCGTGACGCATTCGATGGATTGCTGACAGCGCAAAAGCTGCTTGGACTAAACATGTTGCTAATCGAACTACATTTTGGCACACGTATCAGCGATATACCGACCACCCCCGTGGCCGCCATTAAATGTCGTCGCATCATCAAATCAGCCTCCAGGCGAATGGCGAGGGCGTTGGTTGAGCTGCAGTGAAATCCTTGGGGGCGTCTTTAGAGAGAGAAGTTTTCATGCCTTTAGCTGGATTTGCGGGCTAGGCATAGTTTAGCTAAATGCCGTCGTAAAAAGCGTTGGGCTATAAAAATTTCGGTCTACTGCTTACTGATTCTCACCCTACTTTCAGAAGTGGTCCCCTAATTGGACAACAGTGGACGACAACAGGCGGCGAGAATTCGATTCGATTAACAAATTATCACCACCGAAGCGAATTAATCGTTGCGCAGCGGCCGGGTAGTTCCATAAAAAATATTTGGGTTAACAAGGAGGATGCTCCGAAGCTGTTGTTTGTGCTGTTCCTGACCGCAAATCAGATTCGCTAAGCCGGCAATGAGATTTGCCAGGCGACCGCATCAATTTGTTTTAATTCCGAACAAAAAGTTCGCTCCATACTTTCGGCACTCCGACAGCTTGCAGCAGCTGCAGTTTGTTGCAGCTTCAGCGAAAGCCAGGCTGGTTGCAGCTTCATCATCAGCATCATCATCATTATCAACAGCATCATCAACTGCCGCAGCTGTCGAGTTCGTCGTCTTTGGCCTGTGTTGCGGTCAACCGCGTCAGCCGTTGTTTGATAAGTCAGCTACTTATAGTATGTGTTTATAGCCAGATTGTTAATGAATTAAGTCAAATTTATAATATAAGTACAGGACGTCATGCTTCTGTTACTCTACCCTTTCAATGTGATATGATCATTCGGGCGTAATGGATGCTATATAAAAGAGAAAGCCAAGGTGGCAGCTTTAGCTGCGCTTTTGGAGTTAAATATGCAAAATGGATCTTGAAGACAAATAAACTTCTACGGAACCAGTACTTCAAGACGTTGAATTCGCGCAGAAAATCTGTTCGATTTTAATATAATCCTGTAATAACTATAAGAAGTATTTGGTAGTGTATATTTGTAACAAAGTTTTTTTTAGAGGGGCTGTTTATATCAAAACACAAACACCTTAATTTATAGTAATTCAGTAGTTCATATAAAAGATAAATTTGTTATATTCGATTAATCGATCTGATCAGTTTGTGTGGAAAGGTCGATCTTTAGTAAAACACGATCATATCCAGCTCTCACTTAATACCGGAATGGAATATAGTAAATATGTATGTTTTTTATTTTTTTGTTACACTGCTCGTATCCTCGGATTGACTATCAATATTAGATATTTATATTAAGAGCTTAAATGAATTGCTTTTCTCTTTATTTTGGTTAAAAGATAAATTTGTTATATTCGATTAATCGATCTGATCAGTTTGCGTGAAAAGGTCGATCTTTAGTAAAATATAGTCCCATCCAGTTCTCATTAAATACCGGAATGGAATATATGTATGGGGTATGTGTTTTGTTTTTTTTGTTACACTGCTCGTATCCTCGGACTGACTACCAACGAGGCGCAGTGCAGTAAAATGTCAAATTAATGTTACACCATGTCCAACAACTTTTGATGACATTTGACAATGTTGACTGGAAATTCCTGCAGGTGACGCAATTTCCTTGTAATTTGTTTGGCCGCACGTACGGGGCATGGTGTGGCATGCATAAACAACAACACCACTACTACCACCACCACCACAACTAGCCACCTCTAGTGTTAGCATCAGCAACGGCAGCAACAAAAACAAAGTGCGCCAAGGGACGTGCAGCGAGTGGTGCGCTGTGGTGGCGGTGGCGGTGGCAACAACAGCAGCTTGCTGGCCAACAAGGTGTCAATGTGTGGGCTTGTCGGACGCGAGACTCGGACATGTGCACACATTGCCCAAGGGCCATAAATTTACTTTGTTTATTTGTTACACTATGCCAAGCGCGCTGGACAGCGATGTCAGGTAAGCCCCAAACAGCCAACAGCCAGCAGCAACAACAATAACAAAGGCGAGCCAAATCGCCCAACGCCGTTTAACGGAAATTTGTTTAGGAAATCAAATTAAAATTCGCAAGTTATCGGAATGATGGGTGTGCATTTTTGGCCTTTCCGCAGGCCACTTACACACTCACAGCTAATTGGCAATGCTTTGGGGCCACAATTGGTGCATACTTGTATTTTTGCATTTTATTTGGCGACTTCATCGCCGACTGACGGCAGAGCTGTTGCGGTTGTTGTTGCTCTTGCCGACAAACAAAAGCATTCTCATTAAAATTCCCAAGCGTCAAATGAATATTTATTTCCTTTCAGAAACAACTGCATCAATCAAATTTTGCGCAACCGGCAATTAATAATTTTGAGCAGGGGTTGCGAAAAAAAAACCCATCAAAATTAAATTGACGTATCGTTAACACCCCAACGAATATCGTTTGGATTGGGAACTGCGCGTGGCTGAAGAATAGCCAATCAGCACTACACTGTGCAAAATCTAGAGTTTCTACGGACATATATGTCCGGGTTAAGAGGGGAAGGCAAGGTAGATATACTGATTCCATTCTCATTTTGAATAAGGTTTCTCGCATCCAATGTTTAACTGAATGACTTGAAGTTTTCTACTCTCATCACACTTGCTCCATAATTGCAATTTTATGTAGTGCAGTGTATACGACACCATATATGTGTAATTGGCCAATCAGCCACCCCTGGTTGCATGCATTATAGCCGGCCATTGTTGATTTGTGGCGCAGATGCCATTATTTTTAGTAGTTTATGATGAAGTGGTCGGTTGCAATCGGATAATCGTTTCGCACTTATAGCGAACTGACCTGTAAGAAAATCGTAGCTCTGCTGCGGAATGATAAATGCATATATAGTAGTACACAATTGATTGCCCTTTATGGTCGAAGTGATTTGAGCATTTGCTACAATTTTTAGCTGTCATGTAACATTCATGTTTATATCCAATTCAGAATTCCAAGCGCCCTTGCCACATGCGGCCGAATATAATATAGTCATGTATTCAAGAATTTTATGTTAGTAGGCTGCTGGGTCAGCAGGTGAAACTCGAAGCTGGCTCTTTACATAAATAATTTGATGTAAAACGCGTGTTAAATGGCTTGGTGTGTCAACAAAATATTAACAAATTGAATATGCAAAACACAGTCCACACAGTTTCGTTTGCAGTCGTGCGCTCAGTGGGTGGCATATTTGTTCGTTTTGTATCTAATGGATACTTGAGTGTTGGCTGACTTTGAACTTTAATTGATTTGTGCCATATGCTTTATGGCTTCAAAACTCATAACGCGCTAAACAGACAGATTTTCTTGCTCTTTCTGTTGCTTGCCACACATGGCCACATTCATAAACTAATTATGGTCGCGGTTTATTACGCGCGAAAATGGCAAATTAGCATAAAAGTTTGTAACATTAAAATTATATTTTGTTGCCTGCTCTTTTTTATTAGCGTTTTGTGACTAAATTGATTAATGAAGTTATTTATTAGTTTCGATTTCTTATGGAGAATTTTAACGACACGTTCGCATTATGGCGAGCATTTTGTTTTTCGATATTTGTTCGGCACTTGTTATACAATCTGTGCCGTATTTGGAGAGAAAGTGGTTTTTCCTAAGCCATCAAAATTTGCCCATAAACACAGGCAATGTATAATTTTGTTGTTCAGCCGCATTATCTGGAATTACTCCAAAGGCGTCGACGCCGTAATTCTCTTGCCATTTTCTGCCTTTTTATGGGCAATAAAATGTTGCACGATTTATCCGGTTAACGGCTTAGTTAGACAAAGAAGTGAAGAATTGACGAATTTATAATTGGCGGTGTCTTCTTTAGAGCGTGTTGTGAATCAAATACCAGTATGTATAATAAACAATATTCTTTCAAATTCCCTAATACTTAATCTTGCTCAAATATCTATAGAAGCAAAGGAATGATTCTAAATTTTTTTGAACGCAAAAAATAAAAATGATTTGGAAAATGTCAAATCTCTGCCCAAATATTTCAATGCCTAAATTAAAACGGCTTTTTGTACGAAGTAGGCCAGTTGCACCCAAAAACAAATAAACATACAACATTAAACAATACCTGTAATACAATAAGCTCTTGAAACACATATACAATTTAATAAGTTAAATGGAGTACGCAGAACTTTATGGTCTTTCTACACTTGAGCCTGTGATCGAAATGTGGGAGGAAGAGGCTCAGGCCGAATCTGAATACAATGCGGAAGAACAAAGAATAAATCGCGAAAATGCTTTAGATCGCTCGGATTGGCATCAGGGTTTACTTAAGGATAAGGTCACTATTTTAGCGTTCAGCAAGGTCATTTCAAATTACAAGCATTATTTTGCGGGCAAGGTGAGTAGAATTGTTACACTTTTTTCAACCGAACCTCTTGTGCAGCCTCTTCTATTCTCTAGACTGTGCTTGATGTAGGTTGTGGGATCGGTATTCTCTCACTTTTCGCTGCGGAAGCGGGCGCAGCCAGGGTCATTGGCATCGAAGGTAGATCTAGGCTAGCCGATTTAGCCAAAGGAGCTATATTCGAGAATCAGTGCGAAGAAGTTGTTGAGGTTGTCAAGCATGCGTCTGATCAGATGACAGTGCTTGGTGGTATTGAAAAGTTTGACATAATCATCTCCGATTGGATGGGGTAAGAGGCATCTTTAACATCACCAAACTAATTGGCTCACTTCGGTTTGCACACAGGCAGGCCCTGTTCTCGAACTCCTTGTTCCATAATGTTCTCCGTGCCCGCGACAAGTGGTTGAAAAACGGGGGCGTCATCCTGCCGAATGTGGCCAATTTGTATATAGCTGGCATAACAGATGACGGCCATCACGAACACTGTGTGAATTTCTGGAATGATGTACAGGGCTTCGATATGAGCTGTATTGGCGGAACTGTTTTAAAGAGCCCAACTATTGATTCCGTGTCGATGCCACAAGTACTTACCAACGCCTGTATTGTATACTCCGTGAACTTGCAGAGTGCAACCAATAGTCCCAGGAAAATAAGATCGGACTTTAAGCTTCAGGCACAGCGTACGGGTACTATCGACGCCTTCGTCGTATACTTTGACGTCTTCTTTATGGTCAGCCGCCTGGAGGCACCTGTGTCTATCTCCACTTCCCCACAATCGCCTCGGACGCATTGGAGACAAACCATTCTTCCGTTGGACGCGGGTTTGCATGTTCAACCCAGTCAGTTCGTGCAGGGCTCCTTCGGCATGATGCCCAGCAAGCGGGATGCCAATATCTCCGATTTTGAGCTTACTATATTGTCTGAGGGTTCGGGTCGCCAAGTAGAGACGTATAAAAAGTTCTATAACAACCAGAAGGCCCAAAAATGAGTGCCACCTTATTGTTGATGACGATTCAGGGCCATAAACAAATGCTGGCTTTATTGGCTGTGATGAAATGTGCTTTAAGCACACACCAATCCGATTTTACGAGTATATACCAAATTGCCGGCGGCTCTTAAAGCCGTCGAAAAAAAAAAGAAAAATTGTGTAGAAAGTCAACGGTATGGATTGTTAACGACTTTCTTAACAAATTACAATAATTTTAGTGACAATGACGCGTATCTCTGCCTGTAACCTAATGATACGCGTTTTAGGGATGGTATGAGACGTGTGTTTGTTCGTGACACGATCTGGGAGAATGGCTTATACATAGTCTGTTTATTTTGATATTCAAAATGCACTGTAATTTATATATATTTTGTTAATGTTGTAACTTGCTTTTTGCAGGAGAAATTCTACTTCAAAAGTGGTACTCAAAATTGTGGCTAACTATTAATAAAAATAAAGCTGCCAACATTTTTTTTCCACTATGAGTTGATAAAAGACAACTTATAATTATAATAATAATTCTTTTTCAGATATTTATACTTCAAGTGAGCTGTTTTCTCAAGCTTTTCACTTAAAATGACCAATGCACTTTTGTCGAGAATTTCAACAGATTTTGAGGTACTATGTAATATGGATTCCGAATTTAGTTCCTTATGGGTTAAGGCAAGCTAACAATATTAGAATATTTTTAAGAAATAGCTTCTACCTCTAACAATTCAAAGAACAAATTAACACTCGTACACATCGAACTATACAAATTGTTTGGATCTTATATGTTCTGCGCTCTCTAATTAATTGATAGCCTATATATAAATTTGTGAAAGCGAACGCCAAATGCCGCACAATGGATGCCTTTTAAAATAGTTTTATAGCTCTATTTACTTTGTGTTGGCCACGTTGTGGACGCACCTTGAGGGTCATCTACGAGCTGGCATTTGTATTTGTGCATACACGCCTTTTGTTAATGGCCGTTTTTAAAAAGCCATAAAATTGATTTATAAGTTCATGAAATTAATATGCGCACCATTATTGGACATGATTATAAAATATTGGATATCTAGCGCACAAAAGCCCATCAAATGAGCCAAAGGCGTTCAACAACAAACTACACACAATAAACAGAGGAGATCTTTGAATTTGGTCAACACACTTGTTGCGACACCCTGCGGCGCACATTAACAAAATTCTAAACAAAGGCCAACACCAACACCTAGCCAGGCTGACGACAACAGTATGGTACCACGAACATATCAATTTATGCCGCGACTTTTGGCCGAGATGTTGTTGTTGTTTTTCTTGCTGGCATATTTCGAGTATCAAATTGCTGGCATTTATCAAGAGCACAAGTCCCTGAGCCTGTGGAAGGCCGAACTATTATAAATTAAAGGCTCGTTAGACAGCCTAGCCTTGAGTATAGGTCCAGTTTCTTGTTATCAACGAAGATAACTCTCTATGCTTGCGCTCCATTGGGATTTCGGCCCTAAGCCGACTCATAACTAATTGTTGTTTAACAATCTTGTTGCTTCGGACACATTGATAAAGTGCCGAACTGTGGGGCACATTTGGGACTAGTGTGAGAACTCTCGCCAGTTAAATAAAGTCGTGGATGATTACATTATCATCAGCCTGCATTGTGATCACTTGGATACATACATACATATATACATATATCAAACATAATTAGGCGCACAATTAGCGCGGCGGAAAACAAAATAGCCGCTTTGATTTATGATGTCTTTAAACGTATTTGGAGGCATTGATGTTGATCCTGCCGATACGGGATCGTGGAGAGTATATAGCAAAATTGTACACACATGTTTAGCATATCTTATGATGAGACTATTTGAATTTTTTCCAGAAAATTATCTACACAATTTTTTATTTAATTAAAAATATAAAAGGCACTTTAGAAAATATTCCACAAATTACTTTCAGCGTTTTACTTTCTTGCCTAAGAAGTCACAGCTGGGTGAAGACCAGCAACTGCTTAACCTATAGAGAATAATATAACAAGTTTTTCTGGATTGTTTGGTAATAATTCGAATCTTAGCTACTTGAAACTACACTTCACTTATGGAATTCCCGGTATCATGCTTTTACAATATATCGATTTTCTGGTCCCTAAAGTCGACCACAGATAGCGATTCGATTTCGATTTTTTTTTGTATTTTCTCTAAAATAAAATTGATTAGTCATTAAAAGAACAAAATTAAATTTTGTAATTTTTGAAGAGTTTATAATTATAAACAAGAGTACTTTGCTAATAACTTTGCGATAGATATACATTTTTGGATCACCACAGCTGCTTTCTAATAGGGAAACTATCAATCGATACTATCAAGTATTCATTAAATTAGAGATGAGCGATAAGACAAACTTTCTAAGTTGCATTTTATAGTCACTAATCACATCAGTAACAAATATTAGGATGAAAATCACTATCATCCGGTTGAGCTTAATGATTAAATGATTCATAACTTTGACATTCTTGAATTTTGAATCTTAAATTTCTTCAGCAATATTTTTTCTTATGATTATTTAATTTGATCAAGTTTATCTTTATATCTTAATTATTGTGTGCAGAGTATGTTAAATAAACAATTTACACACGTAGTCGCAGTCACAGTCAATATTAATCACAGACAGTTTGATGTCCCCAAATCACAAATTTCTACGAGTACTTCAAAGGTCAGAGTTAAAAGTTTGCAGTCACTGACGAGCATTTTTTTATTGTGTTTTTGATTACCTAATTTTTTGGCCATTCCCAACAAGTCAAATAGGGTTATGGCACAAGCTCTCACTACCACTTCCTTCTGCGATTCATGTAAGCTCGATACAAGGTTATTGAATGAGCATTATTGTGTTGCCTTTATAAAAAAAAATGTGGGACTTTTCAGGAATAAGGTAAGCATTTGATTTACTTAATCCGAAAGTAACATTTGCATGCCCCGTTAAATCGCTGACAGGTTGTGTTGGATTTGGGCTGTCGGAGCGGTTATCTCACCATATATGCTATAGAATATGGCCAAGTGGAAAAGGTGTTCGTCTGGGGCGTGGGCGCCATGACTAATATGGCCAGCTATTTTGAAGCTTTACTGGGAAAGGAGAAGGAAAAACGTATACTGCAGCTTGAAGGAGCCTTAGACGACATCATATTGCCTGGAGGTCATCCAAGGGTTGATATCATCTTGTCTGAGTGGATAGGGTAAGTTGTATTATTGAAATAGCTGTGCAATATTCAAAATCGGGCAAGTCATGTTTGCAGAAGTTGCGTGTTTGGGGACTCGCTATTTAAGGAGCTTATCTACGCACGTGATAACTGGCTAGTCCCTGGTGGTATTATTATTCCGAATCTGGCTAATTTGTATATAGCGGGCATTTCCTACAATCCCATTCCTGCCAAATCCAACATTTCACAAGTGGAGTTCTCGAATGAGGAACAGCATTGCACACTTCTGGAAGAACAGGTGAAGAAGGAGCAGTTAATGACTGAGGAGTTTTTGGTGAATTCTGTTAATATGCATACTGCAAAAGTTAGTGATATTGATTTCGAAGCGGAATTTAAATTGAAGCCACTGCGAGATGGACAATTCAATGCTTTCGCGGTCTTCTACAATGTCGGTTTTATTGATGCAAATGGCAGAACGGACATCCTATTCTCTACTTCGCCAAAAGCGATCAAAACAAATATGGAGCAGGTCATACTCTTAACGGAGAAAACTGAGATCAAGAGAAAGATGACGATTACTGGCTACTTTGGAATCAAACCAAATGAAATGGAATATAGAGGTGTGGAGTTATCGGTTCGCCTTTCTGATGGCGAGGATAAAGCAGATGACGATGTCGAGATAATAGAGCAAGAGGGGAACGAGAACGATGTAATAGTTTTGGATGAGGATGATGATGATGATGATGATGACTGATGATGATCAATAAAATAAAACACAAGGCTGCCTTGCGATTCATGACGATATTTAGGCGTTGTTTGGCAGTTCGTTTGAAAAATGAATACGAGCTGATTCTTTGAGGTGCCACCGCTAAGGGTTAAGAGGCTGAGCGGCCGCTCGATTACTGTGCATGGGCATTGGTATTGGCATTGGGATCGATCTTCCATTCGTTCGTTGGTTCGTCGCAAATCAAAATTTATGGCCTTGCTGCATCAATTAGGGTAGCGACTCGACTGCCTTCCGCTCCTGCACAAAACAATGGTCAGTTTTTTTCGTCTGGTCTGGTCTGGTCTCAGTGGTTAACTTTTGACGTCGTTGGTACAACAACGATTTAAAATGATGTCGCGCATAATTCACTGATCGAATCCAACGACCAGGCTTCAGCGCTGCGCCAGACTGTGCGTCGTGATCGTGCTTGGGGTTTTGGGATCTGTACGACGACTTGCTGCCCTCGTTTACAGTTACAGTTCTTTTGTTCTGATCATAACCAAGATCGCCGATCGCACTTAGTTTACGCTCCATACAAGGCACCAGGGCCAGGGTAGACGTAGTGCAATGCCATGTCAGGCTGCTGCTGCTGCCCTCATCACTGGACACACAAATTTCGCTCTTTAAATAATGTCACTCGTGTCGTCGTCCTCCTTGATGTCCGATCTGTTGAGCCCCGTCTTGTTTGCGGTTGTGGTTGCTGATCGTTCACATGTTTAAGTGACATTTCGTCGGCTGGTTGTGGACGTGGGTCCGTGATGGATTAGCATCATTTTGCCGGGAGGATAATGTGTCGTCTGCAATGATTTTTGTTGACATGTTTTTTGTTTTCTCTCTCTTTTTATTTTTGTTTTTGTATTTGTTTTTTTTTGAATGTGCAACTTTTTGCTCGCTTATCTGTCGTCTGAGGGTCTGCTTTCTGGCTTTCTGGGAAATAATTATGCTACTTTTGTGCAAAAATAACAGCATTTTTGTACAAATTGCATAAAAATTTAAATTGCGTTCGGGATTTTCGCTTATTCTTCTTATTTGTGTTGTTGCCTTCGTTGAAAACGTAGAAAATTGCTTAATAATGAAATGCCAACGGATTAAGCGCAATTTCTGCGGCATGCGGCGGCTGCGATTACGTCTTAAGGTCTTCAAATTTTGCTTGCTTTCTGGCCACAAAAAAAAAAACATGTACATTTCACCATCACCGACACTTTTTACACCTACCAGCAATCTCATAACTGCGATTTTTTTTTACTATTCTAGCATTCGCACGCACGCACGCATACTCTATCCCCCCTCTTATACATACTACTCTCCGTTCACAAGTTTTACAGAACTGGGGCCTTGCAGCGTTTTCATTAAATTCGCTTAATAGCGCAATATAATTTAAACAAGTAGTAACATAAAATAAAACTCAGCCACGCATTGAGAAGAAGGCAAATGACTGTGCATGGCCAAGTGGAGGACGAAACGGAGCAAAGGCAATTCGAGTGGAGTGGAGGCCTCTTGGGCCGCTGCTGGCTGGGCTGGTCCGGCTCCAAGTTATGGCGCATGGGCGAGACGTGCGGTTCGCCAATGCAATAAGTTCGCTTAACGAGGGTTTAATTTATGATTTGTTATGTTTCCGGTTCATGTTCTTGTTGCCGATGCAGAAAATTATTGGCCATAAAGCTAAGGTGTGGATTATAGTTGGTAGTTTAGGTCTGGCACGCAGCAGCCAAGCTGGCAGCAGTTGTGGTTCAGGCCAGTTCAGTTCAGTCCAGTCCAGACATGAAAGTATCGATTGTTCGAAATCAAAAACTCAACCACAGTAGAAAACATTTGAAGATCACGACAGTTTGCACCATTGGGCTGAAGGACTTTGTAGCCTATGGCAATGCCAGAAGAACGGGTTTTCCGGATGGGTATTTAAGTTTGCAAACTGTATCGATAAAATGTTCGAATAAGCCATTTCAGAATTTCCCAGTATCTGTGCATTTAAAATTTATGTCCAACAGTGGAAATTAGATAATAAAAAAATTTATATAAATAAACGTCTTTTATTAAAATTAAAAATGAATTCATTTGACTGACAATGTTCATTTTTGTTGATTCCAAGTGGGAAACCCCATTCAATTGTTATCTGAATACCATTAAATGAATTCCTGGTAAAGATGAATTAAAGCAATAAAATTAAACAAACATAAGCGTTAAGGCATTCATAAATAATTCTTAATGTTCCCATTCCACACTTTTCAAATCGCTGCTATCTATGCGTTGCTTTTTTGAATGACAATCGAATACTTTGTTGCTCTGCAACACGGACAGTGTGCGAAAACAAATAATGAACGAGACGAAGAAGAGAACTGTGGTTATTAAATTTCTGGTTTTTCTAAACTATTATAATTGAGCTTTTAATATACAAACGTGCATGTTGGGCAGCAAATAAGTACGATCTCAAAAAAGTAAAATGAAATGAAATCTTATTAATCGCTTAACTAATAGACAGTTTTGTCTTTGCGCCTAATACTCCTTAATCCTTTCACGCTTACTGAGCATTTGTATGGCATGAGCGGTACGAGAGCGACCAACAAGTATCCAACAAGGTCTCAGCAAATAAGCAATAATGGCAGCGAAGAACTAACGAAGAACGAGGAGCGACGTACGTCGCATTGCGTTGAAAATCGATTTGTTTGGGTTGCGCCTGCGCAAACAACACAGCCCATGGATAAGAACGGATAAGAGAATAAGCAAAGACACACTGGGAGGACGACCACGATGACGCTGACGTCCAGCACAGTAGAGGGAAAAATGGTGCAAGCAACGCCAACGAGTATCTGGTGGAACATAAATTACGCGACTAACAAGCAGCGCCCCGTGCAGCCACTCCGCGACGCATCACGGCTCAACTTGGCCGAGAGGCTTAAAAAAGATACAAAACTTGGCGTACTTGGGAACGGGCCTGTGTGCCTCTGCATGGTAAAGTGAGTTGCACAAAATTATAAATGAAAGCGGGTGTTGGTGCTGTCGCTGTTGAAGTTGCTGTTGCCACAGCATAGGGATAGCATAAGGACAGGTACAGGACAGCAGAGCAGGCAGACGTTCACGTCCACGATTAGGTGCAGCAATTTGGTGTGCCTTCAATCGCTCCACTGGCTGCTGAGCCACTGCACAGTGTAATACTTTGGATAACTGACGCAATAAAACTCGTCTAACTAGAGTTCTTTAGCTGGACATCGAACTAGGTGGCAGGCAAGCTTAAAGCTATTCTTCATTTTGGGTGAAGTATCTCTCAGCTTTGTAATATTGCTGACCCAATCTTTATCCCTTTTGCTCTCCTGTATATTTGCAAGATGGGATAAAGCACATGAAACATCTTTGATTACATAGTGCTTATATGGCCAATAAATATTAAATACACCTCATTCTGTTGTTTCTGGAACCAATCTACCGTGTAAAAACAGAATTAGGTGTGTAATACTATCATCAGTAGGACAGAATAACTATGTTTGGGCATATAGCCTCGTAAGATGTAGAGTCCGATCTTACGAGGCCTTTAGTATCTATATGTATTACGATTTCTTTTACTCCATTTCACAAAACTGTCAGTTTTTGCCAGGTTAATATTTTTTTTAGTAAGTAATTTCGTTTGATGACAACAGCTGATCTTATTGAATTTTTTCGCAGCCAACTTTACTCTTAACCGTTTTACCGTTATATATTATAACAGTTGATATAGTAAGGCTTTCAATACAATAGCGTGTTTGACGACCTGTTGGGATCAATAGCTAATAAAAATTGTTTTTGGCCGGGAGAAGGAATCGTTCGGCCTGTTTGTAGACTTTACTCGCTCTGCCTCTTTCCACTATCAGGACTAAACAATGGAACAACCTTATAAATGATGTTATAAATTCTGTTTTGCAGCATTTCCTAACCATAGAATGACTTGAAAACATCTTAAGACAGTCGATTCAATGTTCAAATTCCATACTTGAAAACCAACAGGAATTTTACTAGTAATGACCATTTTTATTGCCCACTGTATAGTGTTTTAGTATTAACAGCAAATATTAAATAATATCAATTATTCTGCAATGGTAAGTAAAATAAAATTTGTTCACAAGTTTGCCAAAGTAGGACACTGTGGCTAGCCTTGCGCAGTTTGTCGGACCTGTGATTGAGACCGAGGCAGTGCTCGAAACGAAGTTAAAAATCAAATTAGCGAATGTGTTGAAAATTAAAAACAAATTCACGGATAAATTGCATCTGCCAGATACGCAATTATTATGAGGGCAGACAGCTGGGAGCGGGGGGAGCACCAAAAGCCAAAAGACTTATGGACTTGAACTGTTGCAGCTCGCTGTTTCTCGTGATGTTGTGAAGCTGAAGCTTTGTCTGTCTGTCTGTCTGGCTGTTTCTGTGGCTGCTGCTGATGCTGTAGTTGCTGTTGTTGTTGTTGTTGTTGCAGCTCCTTTTGTGTCTGTGTGCCCTCGAGGTGTTGCAATTTGACGTTTTTTACGCGCGTTTTTTATTCCATGAAATCCACAAGCACTGCGCTATGCTCTGCTCGTGGAGCCGCTCAGCCGCTGAGCCGCACGCAGTGTGCAAATACTTGGCCTTAAATGGTTTTTGGCGAAAAACATGTCGAATTAACACGCTCACTTGTGCTTGTATCTGCCTGTTCCAGGCAGCTGTGCCAAGGAGGGGGGCCCTCCCAACAAAAAAAGAGAGCAGACAGGATAAGAGGAAGCCTGATAGTGTGTGTGTGTGTGTATTTAAATGCTGGCAAATTAGCCAAAATTTTAGCGCAGCCTCGCAGTCAAACATAGGTTGCGCGCAATTTGCATTCTGCGGCCGGAGTGAGACATATAATTATGGCCGATCTGTCCACCGTAGGATTGTGTGTGGGTATATGTTTCCAACTGGCGCCGTCGTCTACTCACACAACAACAACCGGCAAATAAATCGTGCTGCTGCTGTTGAACTTTTTATGCCCCAGAGTGCAAAACGAATGGCAGTGCCAAACTCACAATGCTGGCAACTTGAGCAACGCCCCTTCCACGATGCC